GTTTTGGTATATTTGTGTGTGTTCCTTTTTGTTTTTAGTAACTGCCTTGTTGATGATACTTCATGTACCATATGATTTAATGGGTTAAATATATCTAAAAGGGTTGTGCAATCAATGAGTTTGATTTTTTTAATATTGTTTGATTTTAAAAAGGCTGTGTTAGGCTGGGTTGACTGGAGAAACAAATTCAGAGACATTCATTTGTGTCTAAGAGAGAACTTTATATCAAAGAGCAATTGTATATTGAGAAAACCTCTCAGCCCTGTCCAGATCAAGTCCATAAGTCCAGATCCAGTCCATATTAACCCATAAGTCCTATACTAATCCTTAAGTCCCTCTCAGACTCACACAGCTTATGCAATGGTGCCGAATGCAGGAAGATCACGGGCTGGTGGGTGAAAAGTCTTGTGGATCCTGTGGTGGTAGAAGCATTTAAGTGCTGGTGAGGGTCTCCACATGGCTCCTCCAGCTCTCTGAGTTTCTCAGCAGCAGGAAAATGAAGCGGAGTGAGCGCTTCCAGGTCTCAGTAAGTCTCCACGTGGTTGTCAACAGGAAGACCAAGGCAGAGAGAGCGGAAGTTCCCAGGATCCTCATGAGAAGGCCCACAAGGAGACATCATCAGGCTGTGACCTGATTGACAGGCTAGACTCCACCCCATTCACTCCTAATACCCTTAAGTTGACACAGATTATGTAACTACCACAAAGACTTTGGAAGAATCCATCTGTGAAAACCTAGTTCCATGGCCACCTCCAACTGCAAAGAAGGCTGGGAAATACATTGTGACCGGGAAGCCATAATGACAACCGGGAAGCCCACTCTAATGACAACAGACATAACACTGTAGGTGAAAGGGAAAATGGATTTGGTGGACAATCAGCAACCCCCACCCTTCTGCTTTGGATAATTTCCATGCATTTCGAGGACGTGAGCCGGGATTTTCATGCGGAGTGTTTCCTTGAGGGATGTGTTAATTTTATGTGTCAACATGGCTGGGCCAGAGTGCCCAGTTGTTTGACTCCGCGACTAGTCTAGATGTTATTGCGAAGGCATTTTGTAGATGTGGTTGCCCTCCATCACGTGGGCGAGCCTCATCCCATCAGTTGAAGGCTGTGTGAGAAAATACCGAGGTTTCCCAAAGAGAAGCAATTCAGCCTCAAGACTGATGTGGATATCCTGCTGAAGAAGGCATCCTGGATGCATGGACCAGTGAATTTTGGACAAGATTAGCAGAGTGTCTAGTTTGTTTCCTGGCCTCTGGATTTTAGATGTGCCAGCCCCTACCACTGTGTGAGCCTCCTCCTGACAGGGAGGGGGCCAGTGATGCTTTGGGCTGAGTGAAAAGGCCCAGGGCCACACTGGGCTGGCCCTCTACCACTTTGTCCTCCGGGATGTGGTTGGGGTCTGAGCCCTTGCTCCATTTCCATCCTTATATGGTTGATCTAATGGATGCAGTGGGCAGGAGAGGTTGGGAGCTGGCAGTGAGACGAGTGGGTGGATGACTTGTTTGTTCCTTCATGCTGCCAAGGCCATTGCCTTGGCCTGGACTCCTTGTCCTGACCTCTGGGCATGGGGGCCAATCAGCTGGAAAAGTCTGAGGGTCACCTCAGTGGAAGGACTTTCATAATGTTCTTTCAACCCAGCTGTTTCAGACATGGTACACCTGGTCATAGCCTTGATCCTTAGGGAGGACGTGATTATGGGGACAAGTAGTGCATTCTGTTCTCTGTGAACCTGCTGTTTTTGTTACTGTGGCTAGATAATAGGTTTTAAAGTCTGGCAGTGAAAAGACCTCCTACTTTGTTTTTATTTATCCTGAGTTTCTTTCCTTTCCATATAAAGTTGATGATTATTTTTCCCGTTTCTTTGAAGAATGGTGGTGGGATTTGGATCAGAATCACCTTGAATTTGTAAAGTGTATATATTTTTTGTAATAATGACATTTTCACAATGTTTAGTCTACCTATCCAGGAATGTGGTAGCGTGTTCCACTTGTGTAAATCTCTTGGTTTCTTGTAGGAGTGCTTTGTAATTTTTCTGGTATAAAACTTTTCTTTCTCTGGTAAGATTTATTCCTAAATATTTTATCCTTTGTGTAGTAATTGTAAATGGTATTGTTTTATAAATATCTCTTTCGGTATCATCATCCTAAATATACAAGCATCCAACTGATTTCTAGTGAGTGGGGCTATGCTCAGGCAGTCCCCTCACGGAAGCATCCTGGAGGGGGCAGTACACTAGCCTCACGGGCTTTCACAAAGCACCTGGCTTCCAAATGTAGCAGGCTCACCCCCTTGCCCTAAGCACGATCACATGTGTGATGTATCCTGTTGCCTGAACAGGAAGGGATAACAGAAAGAGTCCGGGGGTCCCACCAGTACCTGCAGTTACACTCACACAGATGGACCTAAAAGCTCACAGACTCTTACATGCACACAACCATAGCTGTAGAGTGATGCGTATTACACACACACACACACACACACACACACACACACACACCCCTTTCTCCTCTCGGTGAAAGCTCTGATATGAGGGGCAACTATCCCTCCAAAGTCAAGTACATTGAGTTCTCCTTTGATCCCCTCTCCTTAACTGCCCCCTCCCCCCTTCTCCTCCTTCTTTCCTTCTGGACCTCAAAGGCACAGACTAGATTATTATTATTTTTGTATAAAATGGCATCTTCTTCATTTTGCATATTTTAATAGAACAAAATAAACAAAAAGAAACCTCACAGATGTACAACATTTAACCCCATTCCCAAATTAAGGAGGGGACAGGGCACGAGGGACTTATTTTAAGCCTTGGTTCATGACATTTGATTATCACTAGTCCCTGCAAAGACATTTAAAAAAATTAACTAATGAATCAATAAAAATGAAGCCATATGTTTTTATAAAACACGTGACCTCGTGACACTTAACACATTGATAATCACATGTGTCTTGTTGGCATCATGTGGCTTGTTTATGATAAAGGGCCCAGCCACCATTTACATGCTACTGGGAGAGGAGGGCTTGCTTACAATGCTCTGTGGGCTGGTCTTGTTCCCAGGACAGGAAGTCTAGAGGTCAGCCGGACTTGAGGGGGATCTCTGGGAAAGACTAGGATCCGGGACGTAATCCGGCCTCGCTTTCTGTCAGGCACCCTTGCCTTTCCCATATGGTCTAGACTGTTCCCTTTTTCCGAGACAGCTGAAGGTTCTCTTGAGGTCATTGTATCCTTGGAGGCCAGCAACGTGTGTGAAGGGGGACTGCCCTTCTGTGCTCCCCGACTTTGGTCATTCTATCCCATTCCAACGTGGTAAGGAGATTCTGCAGTCGGAAAAATGTTATACACACATTTAATATGTTTATGCTTTGAGCTGCTAACTGCAAGATCAGCAGTTTTAAACTATTAGCCACTCCACAGGAGACAGTTAAAGATTTCTACTCCCATTGAATTACAGTCTCAGAAACCCCCAGGGGCAGCTCCACTCTGGCACTAGGCTTGCTGTGATTGGGTATTGACTCGATGGCAGTGAGGTGGGGTTTGTTTTTGGGTTTTTTTCAGGGCCTAAATTTATCTGGATTCCTGACTCACAGTGATCCCATGCACAACAAAATGCCCAGGCCGCGGCCATCGTTACAATTGTTCTGGTTTGAGCCCATTGTTGCAGCCACCCTGTCAATTCATTCCATCCTCTTTTCCGCTGCCACGCTACTTTAAACTGCACTAGGCCACGCTGCTGCACGTGACCTCTTTAGAAGATGGAAAAGCTAGGATGTTACTCTGAGGACTAAGGTCCTTCTCCAGGAACGGATCTCTCCTGACAGCGTATCCCAGGTGTGTACGTCTCGCCATCTCTGCCTCGAGTCTAGTGAGCATTCTTCCTGTGCTTCTTCCAAGACCGACATTTTTGGTTCTTTGAGCAGTCCACGATACTTTCAGCAGTCTCCTCCAGCACCACCATTCAAACGCACCCATTCTTCTTCAGTGTTCAGTTTTCACATGCATAGGAGGCAATAGAAAATACCATGGCTTGGGTCCAGTGGACCTTAGTCCTCAGAGTAACATCCTAGCTTTTCCATCTTCTAAAGAGGTCACGTGCAGCAGCGTGGCCTAGTGCAGCTAGATGCTCATGGAAGCAGCAGTCAAGAGATCACTGACTCTCGCACCGTGGAAATCTGCTGCATGATGCCTCTTGCAAGTGTTGAAAAGCAAGGATGGTCCTTAGAGGCCCGGATGGTGAGCCTTCGTCTCGTACTTTGGACATGTTGTCAGGAGAGACCAGTCCCTGAGAAGGACGTCCTGCTTGATACATTAGAGGGGCAGCAAGAAGATAGAGGGGCACAGTGGCTGCAACAATGGGCTCAGACTTGAGAGCAATTGTGAGGAGGCGAGGGATGTGGTAATGGTTCCTTCTGTTGACATAGGGTGGCTGTGGGTCGGAAGCAACTCCATTCCATGGCACCTAACAAAAAGCAGGGTCCTGCGTCCCCCTGTCTCTGAGGGCGGTGCTGTGCGTGAGCCATTTGAGGCCCCTTCTCTGTGGGTTTCTTCCTTTGGGAACAAGCAGTCCGCGAGTTTTCCCACTTGATGTCTGAAAAGTAGAGATTCGGATCGGAGGAGGGACGTGCAGGGCCCTTTGCTCTAGGATAGGGCAGTGCAGGGCAGGGCAGGGCCAGGTCTTAAACCCTGCACCCTCCTCCTGGATCCTGGCTGCGCTGTGGCGGCCAGATGCTGGCTTCTGCTTTTCCTCGAGTTGAGCCCCACTCAGGGCAGCCCCCTAGGGCAGTGCAGGTCAGCGTTCCAGAGACTAAGTCTTGACCGCAGCAGACAGCCTCATCTTTCTCCCGCGGCGCAGCTGGTGGCTTTGAACAGCCCTCGGCGCCACCAGAGAAAGGATCCAGGCTGGCAGACCTGCTTAAAAGAATGCTCCGCCTCTTCCCTCCCGCCTTCCCGGCCGCGGGCTCCCTGGGAAGGGGAGGAGTTCTTCCAGGCGCTGATGCTGCCGTTGCCACGGCAACGCGGCCATACTGGCCCCAACGGACTGACGGGCAGGGGGCTGCAGGACTGGGCCGCGCTGGCCTCGTGGGCAGAGCCGGCAGCATGGACAGCCTCTTCGTGGAAGAGGTGGCCGCCTCCCTGGTGCGGGAGTTCCTCAGCAGAAAGGTAACGTCTCGCCCTCTCCGAAGCGCTGGGCCGATCCTCTAATTCTGCGGGAGGCGACTGCGGGATCTCTTCGGGGATTGGAGTCCTCCGCTGGCCTGTTTCCTGCCCGCGAGATGCCCCGACAAAGACGCCACTTTCCTAGGGCCGGAGAAACTACATTTCCCAGGAGCCATGCCGATCACCGGTCACTTCCTGCCAAGAGGGCAGCGGCTGCCCTAGCCTCTAGCGGGCTTGGTGCTGCTTTCCTCGGGGGCTGGGGGCCGAGCCCCCCGGCGGGGGATGCAGGGCCACGCCCGCCCCCCTCCCCTAATGCAGAGCCCCGAGTTCCCCATCGCGAGCCCCGTGGACAGGCCGCAGCCCAGCCGGGCCGCCTAACCGGCCAGCGCGCACCGTCACAGCCCACAGCAGGAGCGTCCTCCTAAGGGGGCCCCAAAGGTTGAGAAAGTTCCTCCCGGTCAAACGCAAAAGGGGGTCCCAGTTGTTGCCTTCATTGTATTTTAAGTTCTCCCTTTTGTCGGGCCCAGAAGAGTGTTTTTTTTTTTTTTAAGTATTCAGAATTTGGGGATGGGGGTGCTTAGCTGCCATCTTCCCTTGCCGCGGAGGTGGGGACCTGGCAGAGAAGGGCGCTGGAAGCCTTGTGCTCCACGCAGCGAGATATGGAAGGCTTGCAGTGATCTGTGTGCCAGGCAGAGACAGTTCCGTTTCTCATGCTGCTGTATTGAGCTAGGTACTGTGTACTTGTGTCACTCACACACACACACACACACACACACAC